TGTGTGTGTCTTGTATTAGCTGGTGATATATCTCTGTTTTAAAAACACCCGTTAAAGGATTTTGCAGAAGGTTCAGATGCATTAGAATCATTTTGAAGATTAAAAATGACCCCCAATGCCATATTTGTTGTAAACTGATTCATGCATTAGTCCTTGTATTAAACCCTCAAGTACAAAACTTACTTAAAGCGTAACGAAGCCTGTGGCAAGGGCAGAAAGTATTACAGAGGGGTTTTTAAATAGGCAGGGGAGCGCCGCGGCCCTCTGTGCTGCTCGCTGTCCTGATACGATCTGTTTCGTATTAAGGAGATTTATACAGCACATCAGTCTCTCGTCTAAAGCTGCGGATGTAATTGGGTTAGCCAGTGTTTCCCAGGCTGCATGTCAAGGTTGCACATGTTTGACTTTGAGCGGTTGTGTTAAGGGCTCTGATTGCCTGCAGTGACATAAATCTGGATGCACTGGTCAGTAGAGCTGTAGTCCATGCATCATTTAGCAGTCGCTATCGCATCGCTGTGTTTAGTGGCTCTTTGTGACTCCTTTGTGTGCTTCTGTTTTTATCCTGAAGAGTAAAGAAGGTGATGCTTCAAGACATATGTTTATCCTGTAATACCACAGAAAGGTTTCAGTTTAATCTCACTATGTTGTTCTTATGTTTTTTGTTTTTATTATGTTTGCCAATAAACATGATAAATTACAAATAATATGAGTAACTGAGATGAGTTTTTTTGTTTATTGGCCGACCTGGAATCTCTCTGGTCATCTGTGATAAAAAGCCAGCGAGATTATCGTCTGTTTAAAATATATGTTTATGATACTCATGCAGAATTTGTGGTTCTGCATTGGTGCCTGCTTGCATTGGGCTTGTGCAAACTCAATAAACACAGAGGCTACGGGGACATGCTCCATGCAATCCCTCAAAAAGAGATGATGACACTCTGCATACGTTGAGTGCTGAATAGTTGAAAAGTTGGTTTGCAAAGTGCCACAATAGTCCAGCAGTGGACACTTTTCTTTGTTATGACACTTTCGTTTTTGCAGCTTATGTTGACCACAGACTTTTTTCTTATTTTAACCTTTATTTAATCAGAAAGTGAAACCCTTGAAATAAGGAATATCTTTGGTCAGCATTAAACTAGTGTGTTATTAAATGCCAAGGTAAAACCATCTCTGACACATATTTTTCCTCATACTTTTGAAGATTAAACGGAGAAATGCAAATGCCACACAGAAGAGCTCTGCCTGGTCTGGAACAAGGATCTGCTCGCTGTCAGGCAGTGGTGCTAACCGCTGAGCTGCTGTGTTTAAACATTATGTAAAAAAACAAAACAAAACACTGACTGGAGACAAAGAAATCACTCATGCAAAATGCTAATTTCTGGGTGTCGGGCCCAGAAATTATTACTTTAATCCACTTATGGTCGATATTGCGATGAAGTTGATACTCTTCTGATCTATCGAGGCTTATTAACACCATCAGGGCGAGTATATGGTTGCGTTCGGCGCTTGCCAGTAGAAAATTAGATATTTTATGTGATGGCCCTGCAGAATGACAGCCAAAAGAAATTTGACGGGACACATGGACATCGATGGACCCATATGGGCTGTTGTAGAAAATGAAACATGCAACTATTTAGTAAGCAGGCTGCAGTTATATCTGATGGACTGTATGGTATAAACAAATCCTGGCAGTGCATCTGCTCTGAGGAAAGACAGAGATACAGTATTTCTAGTGAAGCGACAACATTGACACTACATTTATTATCATCAGTCTGAGCTCTTATGCTGATAACTGAAACCTGAAAAAGGCTATGCCGAGTGTATTGTGGTTCAGTCATATCACATCACAATGAAGGGGCACCACTGACCATGGCATAGGGGCTCAATCCTCTGCAGTGTCATACTGGGCAGGGCTAACCGTGAACGCCCCTGCAGGAAGCAGAGGGAACTGAATCAAGGCACAACACTCGTATTTGTGCACATACTGTACTGTAAAGCATAAACTCTTGATATGTTGGGACGAGAACAGAAATGATTAAGTATCTGTTTAAAG